GAATTATAGAAATAATTTAAATGGTATAAGCTTTGTAGTAACTAAAAAAGGATTTATTGTCTCTATCAAAATTAATATATACATTTGCAGAGCATCCAGATGGAGAAGCTGTCTCTTGTAATTCTCTGAAGCAGAAGAACAGTTTCAATAAATTACCAACACTTTAAGCTCTCTGGACCTCTGGTTTAGTTTCATTTCAATCAGACACAAATCTTAGATTTACATGTAGCCCTAACATCACCATCAACTACCTTAATTTTATATCTGTTTGTAGTATACCAGATGCTTTTAGTAGTTAGCATAACTACTAAAATTTACTAACTGGAATGTGAGTTCCATTTTTGTCTGCTTTGTTCACTGATGTACCTTGGTGTCTAGAACAGCTCAGTAATATTTTTAAACAGGTGAATTTACTCTAAATACACACCAAACCAAACTATTAACCAAAAAAAATTTTGTTCTGCTATCTCAATATGAGAATCCTGTGTCTCCTGCTATTATACAATGCTGTAACACTGATATTGTCACATAAAATTAGTCATTATAAGTTGATCAAGAGACAACAAACACACTGCTGCATCTGTTTAGGCTGATAGCAGTTTCTGGAGTTCCAAGCCTAATCTCTCGCCTTAGTCTTATATGTCTAAAGGTAGCTCTAATATAATGACCAGTAAATGATTCTGTGAAGTGTTAGATGAATATATGTTTTAATATTGGAGGCCAACAATAACACCTCAGTGATCTTTATAAAACATAAAACTCACAATGTCACTTCACTATTTAAAGTTCTTCAGTAGGTCTCCCAGTGCCACTTATCTAGTAGGAGTCAGCCTTTGAAATTAGAATTATTGAATCTGAATCCTTCTTTGCCACTTACTAGTTGTGTGACCTTGAGAAGTTACTTAATCTCCCCGAACTTCAGTTTGCTTATTTGTAAAAGAGGGGCAGCAATATCTCAGAAGGTCGTTTTAAGGATTAAATTAGATAATGCATGCAAAGCATCAAGTAAGCAACTTAAGGCTTATTAATTGTTCTAGGCAGAGGAGGATGTTCAAAGTCCTTATTATGCTAAATAAGCTCTTAAACTTCTATATTTGCTTTGCCACACTAATGACCACATCTACCTGGTCTACATCAACATGGGCTAATGACCACATCTACCTGGTCTATATCAACATGCCAGACAGATTCCTAGCAACTGCCAGACAACTTTCTCTATTGTTATGATTTTCTCTGCCAGGGAGAACTTTTGTTCCACAGAGTTTGAGGTTGTATCTTGGACAAATCATTGATAATCAGGTGTTCTCCACCAATTTTTTTTTTTTTTTTTGAGATGGAGTCTCACTCTGTTGCCTAGGCTGGAGTGCAGTGGTGCGATCTCCGCTCATGCAATCTCCGCCTCCTGAGTTGAAGTGATTCTCCTGCCTCAGCCTCCCGAGCAGCTGGGATTACAGGCATGTGCCACCACATGTAGAGATGGGGAGAGACGGGGTTTCACCATGTTGGCCAGACTGGTCTCGAACTCTTGACCTCATGTGATCCACCTACCTTGGCCTCCCAAAGTGCTGGGATTATAGGCATGAGCCACTGTGCCCAGCCAAAGTATACATTTTCTAAGAGCAGGCCTCATCTATGCATATCCCAAGGAACCTACAACAGTTTCTGGCACAAGGAGTCTGGCAGGAGGCTCAACATTATTAGCTGTAATGAATGTCTAATCCACTTGGTGTTTTTTAAACTTCTCTCTAGAAATAAAGAGGCAAGAGAAAATTTCCTCAGAAATATACCCCAAAACAAACAAGTTCAAAAATAAAATTTCCTAAATTTGTGAGGTTTTGTGTTTTTTCCCCTTAAAATTCATGGAGAATTTTGTATTGTATTCCAGGACAGATGTGCATTTGTTTTAACCTAGAATACCAACCACCTCCCTACTAAGTTAATTATTACTAGAGGAACAGGCCTAAGACCCATGCATATAGGAATGGAGGTAAGGTGCTGGTAGCATGAGAGAGATGATGCATAACATGTATAAGTCACTAGATGAAGAAGAAGTACTTGTGCCCTAATAATGAAAAATATGCAGCTGAAATTAGCAGGAGAAACTCGTGGAAATGTCTGTTCCCCAAAGAAAGAATTTGGATAGAATAGAACAAGAGGAAGAAAAGATTTTAAGTAAACTCCAGAATTCACAAAGAAAATGTTCTCAAAATATGTATATAAACTGAGTTTTAGAGAATAAGTGTCAGACTTTATTGAGGCAATACAAAGATAAAGGCGTTTTGGCAATACCTAAATGTAAAGAGAAACTACATTTACTGATGTCAGTAACAGGAACACAGATATTCGTCTTATGTTAAGACAGAACATTATCTGAAACAGATCCCCTATCCATTTAACTTCTTTGCAGGGTTCTCTAGAACTTTTTCATATTCTTTTCCTCCTTTGTTTTAAAAGATATCAGCACACTGCTTCTGAGGCTCAGTTTAGTATAGTTCCAAAGAGCCAAAAAATTTCTGATACACAGAAAGGTTTTCATCCGAAATTTTCTATTTGTAAAGGTTATGAAAATGTCTCTAGGCTCCAAAGCAACACTAGAAAAACTGATTTTACTATATTACTAATCTACAAGAAGAAAAAACCCCACTAATTCAGACTTTTGATATGCTTTTAAAAAGTCAACTTACTACCTTTTAAAATTAAAGTTCTTCAGATTAAATAACCTATAGGAGAAATATCTTCAAGTATATTCTAATTCAAGGGATGACAAACTTCTTCAGTAAAGGGTCAGAAGGTAAACATTTTAGGCTTTGCAGGCTAAGAGGCAAAACCCAGGATATAATATGTAGGTCTCTGTTGCAACGAATTTTCATAGTCTTGAAATGTTACTGTTATTTGATTTTGTTTTCTCCAACCATTTTACAAATGTAAAACCATCCTTAGCTCATGGGACACCCAAAAACAGATGGCAGGCCAGATATGGCCATGGCCATAGTTTGCCAACCCCTTTTCTAGTCTAAGATAGACCTGAAAAGGTAATAACTCTACTGATATTACTAAAAAATTCAATCCTATTTTCAATGAAAAATACACATAAAAATAAATGGAAATGGGATATAAAACTATACACACAGTGTGAATCTAGTATTTGGAGAAAAGTATGTGTGTGTTTATGTATGTGTCCCTGTACATACATGCATGCAAATGTATCTATTTACATATATGGCATTAAAATACCCCCAAAGGAACTATATCAAAATGTTAACAATAAAATTAGCCAGGTGTGATGGCACCTGTAGTCCTGGCTACTTGGGAGGCTGAGGTGGGAGGATGGCTTGAGCCCAGGATTTTGAGGCTGTGGTGAGTCATGGACTGTGCCACTGCCCTCTGGCCTGGGTGACAGAGTGAGAACCTGTCTCAAAATAAATAAATAAATAAATAAACAAAAACAAAATATTAACAATGGTATAAATGACTTTACTTTCTCTTTTATAAATGTTTTTATTGTCCAAATCTCCTATAATAAATATATAATATCTTTTTTTATTTTTATTTTTTATTTTTTATAATATCTCTTAAAATAGAAAAATGTTAAACGGCAACAACAAAATACCCCGAATTTTTATCTGAATTTTTTATGATTCATGTGTGCCTGTAGTCCCACCTACTTGGGAGGCTTAGGCAGGAGATCACTTGAGCCCAGGCATTCAAGACCAGTGTGGCCAATACGGCAAGACGCCATCTCTTAAAAAAAAAAAAAAAAATACAGTCATGCTTTGTTTAATGAAGGGAATATGTTCTGAGAAATGTGCTGTTATGTGATTTTGTCATTGTGTGAACATCCTAGAGTGTGCTTAACACAAACCTAAATGGTATAGCCTACTACACACCTAGGATTGCTCCTGAGCTACAAAATTGTACACCATGTTACTGTACTGAATACTATTGGCAATTGTATCACAAATGGTATTTGTGTCTCTAAACACAGAAAAGGTACAGTAAATGTTCTATTAGTTTCTGCCAGGGGACAAAAAAGGGGTACAACAAAAACACTACATAAATATTTAAAATGGTACACCTGTATAGGGTACTTACCATGAATGAAGCTTGAAGGACCGGAATTGCTCTGGGTGAGTCAGAGAGTGTGAGTGGTGAATGAATGTAGAGGCCTAGGACATTACTGTACACTACTGTAGACTTTATAAACACTATACACTTAGGCTGCACTAAATTGATTTTCTTTCTTCAACAATACATTAACCTTAGTTTACTGTAACCTTTTACTTTATAAACTTTTTAATTTTTTAAACTTTACTCTTTTGTAATAACAGCATAAAATACATAATACAGCTGTATAAAAATATTTTACTTATAACCTATAAGCTTTTATCTATTTTTAAATTAACATTTTTTTAACTTTTTAATTAAAAACAAAGACACAAATATACACGTTAACCTGAGCATACACAGGGTCAAGATCATCAATATCACTGTCTTCTGCCTCTACATTTTGTCCCACTGGAAGGTCTTTAGGGACAATAAACACATGGAGCTGTCATCTTTCTATAACAATACCTTCTTCTACAATACCTCCTGAAGGACCTGTGTGAGGCTCTTTTATAGTTAACTTTTTTAAATTAGTGGAAGGAGTATACTCAAAAATAACAGTAAAAAGTATAGTAAATACACAAACTAGTGACACAGTTGTTTATTACCATTATCAAATATTAATGTATGTACATAACTACATGCTATACTTTTACATGACTAGCAGTGCAGTGAGTCTGCTTGCACCAGCATCATCACAAACTTCAGTAAATGCATTTTACTGAAGTAAAAACTTCAGTAAATGTGCCACAATGTTACAACAAGCTACCAGGTCACCAGGCAATAGAAATTTTTCAGCTCCATTATAATCTTAGGGGACCACCATCATATGCACAGTCCACTGTTGACCAAAAGATTGTTGTGTGGTGCTTGACTGTACTGATATTCACACATACCTCTGAGGGTTCGCATCTGGTTCTGCTTGAGTACAGAGCTTAAATAGTGAGGTGATAAAGAACCACTGAAAAACAAACAGAAAAGCAAATGTGCTTATAAAAATTTTTATTTCACTTTTTTCCCCCTAATTTTTGACAGGTTCTCTCTCACTCTGTTGCCCAGGCTGGAGTGCAGTGGCGTGATTTTAGCTCACTGAAGCCTTGACTTTCTGGGCTCAGGTGATCCTCCCACCTTAGCTGCCTGAGTAGCTGGGACCACAAGCATGCACCACCATGTCTGGCTAATTTTTGTATTTTTTTTGGTAGAGAAAGGGTTTTACCATGTTGTGCAAACTGTCTCAAACTCCTGGGCTCAAGCAGTCTACCTGCCTTGGCCTCCTAAAGTGCTGGGATTACAGGCGTGAGCCACTCGCACCCAACTATTTCACTTGTTATACAACTTAGTCACAAATACAGCTAATTTGTACTATAAAAAACAAACTATTACCTTGTTTTCTTTGCTAATACTACTCAATTTAGAAAGTCTGACAAAGCAGAAAGAGCATAGGAGCCAAAATTAAATCACAACTATTTGGATGTTCTTAGGCAAAATAATTAATCTCTTAGTTTTTTCATCTGTAAAACAGGAATAATTAAATCTCCCACGCAGGCTGTTGTGATAATTAAATAAGAATAATGCATTTAAAATGCCTGGAACAATAGATAATACATGATAGTTACTGTCTGGTTTTGTATTGGATGCTTAAGTTTGATATAATACTAATATAGGTATTACCACAGAAATAAAAGCATTTACCAAAACACATGGTTAAGGAACACTTGGTACTGATAGCAAACAAGTATGTTCCTGATTTTATTAATAAATATAAAATTAAACTTTCTATATTCATGGGAAGACATCAACAGTTCTTTTTTAAATCCAAGAATTAAAATATTTTTGGGAAAAACTACTTCTCTTCTTTGGAATTTATGATAGTATGAAAAAATCTATTTGTTAACTAACTTAAAAGTTTATTTCCTATTCATAGTTTTACATACACTGTATCTCACTCTTTTCCTCAGACTTACAAATTCTTATATGCAAGGCTACACGAAAGCATGTCAGATGGAACTGTTATTTTGCCAAACATCACAAAGGGGAAAATGTTTCATTTTATATTAGGGGTTTAAAGTCAACGGTTATATATAACCCTTATGTTGTCGTTTTTATCTTTTTTTTTTGAGACAGAGTCTCGTTCTGTTGCCTAGGTTGGAGTACAGTGGCACCATCTCGGCTCACTACAACCTCTGCCTCCTGGGTTCAAGCCAATTCTCCTGCCTCAGCCTCCCGAGTAGCTGGGATTACAGGCGCGTGCCACCATATCCAGCTGATTTTTGTATTTTTAGTAGAGACAGGGTTTCACCATGTTGGCCAGGCTGGTCTCAAACTCCCAATCTCAGGTGATCCACTGGCCTTGGCCTACCAAAGTGCTGGGATTATAGGCTTGAGCCACCTCGCCCAACCATAGTTTTTATCTTGTTTTAAAGCCACAAGATCACTTTTAACATTTAAACTTATAATTAAGGCTAAAAGAAACATGAAAATGCAATATATCAAAGACAGCAAAATATATTTGTGATGGTTTAGAAAAAATGGTGCCAATTCTTTCATATAATCTTTTTTTTTTTTGAGATGGGGTCTCAGTCTGTCACCCAGGCTGCAGTACAGTGGCACCATCTTGGCTCACTGCAACCTCTGCCTCCCAGGCTTAAACGATCCTCCCACCTCACCCTCCTGAGTAGCTGGGACCACAGGTGTGCACTACCCACGCCCAGCTAATTTTTGTATTTTTGGTAGAGACAGGGTTTCGCCATGTTGCCTAGGCTTAATCTTCAGTTAAAGAAAAAACCAACACAGCTAAGTAAAACACATAGGTGAACATCAATAGAACTTACCATTAGTTTCTAAATTATTATTTAGAATGCCTCATAATAACCAAAATTAATTAATAAAGATATCAATTTCCAAATGAGAATATAAAATCTGGTAACTTCTTTTCTAGGTTTCATTTCATAAAGATAAATCCTCAGTTATTCTTTTGATAATGATCCATCTAATCTACAAATATGGTAAAGAAGCTTAAAATCTCAGTGAGTGAATATATTACTGATATTTCAACTTTAGCCTTCCCAGCTATTTACTGTATTTCAGCTACAACCACTCCTCTGCAAGTTATCTAATGATACTTTAATAATTCAAATTAACCACTATATGAAATGTTGATGATTGCTGCAGCTGGGAGTTCATTATAACTTTCTCTCTACTTTTGTGCATATGTTTAAAAATTTCCATTTATTACTTTATTAAAAATCTTTTTAAATTTTTCAAAAAACAAGTTAGTCATTATAAACTACCCTTAAAAGTATTTTAACCAAATCTGGGATTTTCAATTCAAATGAAGGTAGATAATAAATTGTAGAAGACTCTAAAGTCTGCTTTAGAAAAAGGAAACAAAAATCAGATTTAAGAAGGTCAAAGTATTTTCAGATTTAACTTAAAATGAGGAAGCTAGAAGATCAATAGGGGTTACTAGGATTGAAAACAAAGCCAAGGAAAATTATAAGCAAATACAGTACAATTATATTTACCAGAAAAAATAAAAACAAAGTTCAAAGCATTATTTTATTTGCCAAACATTTAAAAATTTTAGACTTGAACATACTTTTCAAATATTATAAGTACTATGAAAAAAAACCCTAAAATAGAAAAAGAAACCTACATATGTATATAAAATGTTATGACAAACTTAATCATCTTATTAAAAAATTTTAAATATATTTTTAATTTCCTTCATTTTTAGGTTAGCATTAGTATTGCAGACAATTAAAATGATCTGATGTGTTTGTAGTTGAAATTATATTACAACTTTCTTTAGGGTTTACTTATAACATATTCAGTACTGACTATATTTTCCAGAGTGTATGTTCTCAACTAACCAATTTCCTGTTTTCTAGAAATACAAATTAGACCATAAGGAAAACTAACTTAGGCTAATGTCTTATCCATAAAGACTTCTTAAAAAAAAAAAGAAAATAAAATAAACAACAGGTCAAGGATGGTGGCTCATGCCTGTAATCCCAGCACTTTGGGAGGCAGAGGTGGGAGATCACTTGAGGTCAGGAGTTGGAGTCTAGCTAGGTCAACATGGTGAAACCCCGTCTCTACTAAGATTAGCTGGGAGTGGTGGTGCGTGCCTTCAGTCCCAGCTAATAGGGAGGCCAAGGCGGGAGGATCACCTGAACCTGGGAGACAGAGGTTAAAGTGAGCTGAGATCTCGCTACTGCACTCTAGCCTAGGTGACAGAGTAAGACTTGGTCTCACAAAACAACAAAAACAAAAACAGAAACAAAAACTAAAAACTAAATAAAACATAAATACTTCTTTATACAATAAAAAAACAGAAACAAAATACCCTAGACCTTTAAGTTTCTCCGTCTCACACAATGAAATCCTATAAATTACCACTGACAGTTACATGGAAGATCCTTACTTTTGCGAAGATGCTGAAGAAAAAGGTTGCTTCTTCAGTGCCTGGATAAGATTGGGTTTATATTCCGGATCAACACACCACAAGGAACCTTTTCCATTAACCTAGAATAAAATGCACAAGAATAACTAGGAACTTTTATACATAAACAGTCAGTGTCTAAATGTTTTAAATAAACGTGCAGGGGGAAATAATCTCTAGTACCTTTTGAGTATGAAACTAAGGTTGAAGTGAGCTTGCTATGTGTGCACTGTAGCGACTAAAAGTCACCTTCCTCTAATTCACAAGATTAGTGAGGTTCAAATGTTATTAGTTTCTGGTTTTATATTATGCCTTTTCTACTTCAAAAACTCTTCCTTAAAATTTAAATTACCTTTACGACTACATTAACAATGATTTAGATAACAACAAAATTTACTTGTTTCTCATTCTCACACTCCTTTTTGCGTGTATGAAATCTCCTGTGATATAAGCTTTTATGATTGCTATTAAGATTTAATGTGATGATCTCCAGAGTCCTTCCATTTCCCACAGTCTTTTTCAAGGTAATATTAGTCCATTACTGAGGCTCTTTTATCTCTGAATATTGTGTCATAATTTTTATAGCTGAATGGCAAAATGAAAGAACACTGTTATATAGGTTCAAAAACCGAGGTCTCGATCCCTACTTATTGACTGGCTATGTGATATTGGGCAAATCATTTAATTTTTGAGAGTCAGACTTCTCATTTACATTTTACCCATAAAGTAAAACAACAATGCAGTCCACTTCACTGAATTGTAATGAGATTCAAATAAGAGGATTTATCCGCAAGAGACACATAGCTGCAAAATAGGTGAATATTAAGGGGCCATTCTGAAAGTGACATACGTAAGGGTTTGTGGCATATTGGTTGAATAATGGTATATTCCTACTCCTTTACTTTCCACAGAGGAGGGAATTTTGAAAAAAAATCAACAATAAGAAAAAATCAATTAGTTCTGAAAAAAAGGCAAAAGTTAGATGGTAAAAAAACAAGGGATAAAATAAATTTAGGAGAGAATAAAACCTTTTGCCTGTGGAAAGGTGTAGCAATTGAGTGTAAGGCAGTTTTTTACCATGCTGGCAATGTCTATAAACAGAAAAACCATGGCTATCATACCACACTGTCATGAAGAAAGAGAAAAACTATGGCTATCATACCACACTGTCATAAGGAAAGAAACACACCAGATTATCAGCAGAAACTTTTCTCTGGTGTTTAGCAGCAAGATATCACATTAACTATACTGAACAAGTATTTGACATTTTCTTTTTTTTCTTTTTCAAGAAAAGACAAGTTTTACAAATGTATTTTTGGATTAAATGAAACTTCACTTAGCTATATGTTCAGTCACCTGGACCAAATGATGAATGTGTTTTGATGACAGGGAAAATGTTAGCACCAGGCCAGGTGTGGCGGCTAACGTCTGTAATCCTAGCACTTTGGGAAGCCGGTGCAGATGACTGCTTGTGCTCAGGAGTTCAAGACCAGCATAAGCAACATGGCAAAACTCTGTCTCTACAAAAATAGAAAAATTAGCCTGGTGTGGTGGTGTGTGCCTATAGTCTCAGCTATTCAGGAGGCTGAGGCCAGTCTGGGTGACAGAGGGAAACAGTGTCTTAAAAAAAAAAAAAAAAAGAATTAAAAAGTTAGCATCTATAACACCTTTTGTTAGCACCTATAACACCTTTTGCCCCAAAGCCAATTCAGTTTCATATACAAAAGATACGCATGCGTTACTTTTCATACACAGACCAAGACAATTATTTCAATAATGCTAGCCATACTCTACCTTGGAATTCCTGAGATTACACTCCTAGAAATTGTTTAGTTCAAGTCTACTTTACAAATTCTACTGTGAGGGGACTGCAAATTGTTTTGATCACAGTAGAGTTGCTATTTCCTTGAAATAGCAAATTGGAAAAACTGGTATTGAAAACGCGCAGTTTCAGGGCAGTTAAGTATCTTGAGTATGGTCTCAAGTAACAGTCTGGTTTATGTTACCATGGCAGCACTTCCTTTCACTGGGTCTGTTCATGAACTATCATGAACAAGAGATAAAACTCTGTATTTGCTAATCTACATTTTAGAGTCCACAGCAAAAAGAAACTTATTTTTAACTAATTTTCCACTTAAAACCTTTGCTCCTATATTACTGAGCTTAGATGAAAGAATACAAATAATAAAAGTTTTAGAAGTACTGTTTAAAACTAAATTTGCCTGTAACAAAATGGTCTTCTGTGCAACGGAAACAGGAAATGAGCATTCTCTCATTTTATTATTTCGCATTTTAGAACTCTAAGACTTCTGAACTTACTTAGTAGAGAACTGCTAAAGGTTTTGAAGAAATTTTGAATATACTAAAAAGTGAACTTTAAAAAGACTTAACAGAAGTTGTAAAGACTAGATTGGGAGAAGAGGCAACGTTCATTATATCTGTGTATTTTAATAGAGTTGCTCACCTTGTCTAATACCAAAAAGAAGGCAAAATGGCAAGGCCTAGACAAAATTATAAAGTGGTAATGATTTTCAGTGGCTTTTAGAACCTCTGAGTTAAAAATAATTAACTGATTAAAATTTTACCACACTAGGAAAAAATTTAATTCCATGTTTCCCAGCTAAAATCTCACAGTAATAATGTTTAAGTTGGGCTTTATAAAAATTTAGAAGAGTACATACAAGACTTGGATGTTAACTTTTTTTTTTTTTTTTTTGAGACAGAGTCTTGCTCTGTCACCCAGGCTGGGGTGCAGTGGCACGATCTCAGCTCACTGCAACCTCCGCCTCCCAGGTTCAGGCAATTCTCTTGCCTCAGCCTCCCAAGTAACTGGGATTACAGGTGCGCACCACCATTCCTGGCTAATTTTTGTATTTTTAGTAGAGATGGGGTTTCACCATGTTGGCCAGGCTGATCTCGAACTCCTGATCTCAAGTGATCCACCTGCCTCAGCCTCTCAAAGTGTTGGGATTACAAGTGTGAGCCACCACGACTGGCCAATTTTTATTTTTATTTTTATTTATTTTTTAAATTTGAGAGAGAGTCTTGCTCTGTCATCCAGGCTGGAATGCAGTGGCACGATCTTGGCTCACTGCAACCTCTGCCTTCAGGTTCAAGTGATTCTCATGTCTCAGCCTCCCAGAGTGCTGGAATTACAGGTGTACGTGCCACTGTGCCCAGCCAGATGTTAACATTTAAAACATAAAGCCCCAACCAAAGCAAGCTGAACCAAAACAAAAGACAACCATATGTAACTTTAAGAAATTTAAAATCCAGAGACCAATAAATAACCAAACCAGTATTATTAGATTGTCTTTTCAGAGGAGTAAAAATGGTACTGATGATAGGGAGAAAAAAAACTAATCAGCAGCTGTATCAGCTGGCTGAGTATCATTACCACTTCATAGTTTGATCTAGACCTTGCCACTCTACCTTCGATTGGGATTATCATCTCTAGATAACAGCCATTCATCAGAAAAGTGTTGTCAAGCTTGCCAAATCCAATTCTAACATTTAATGCAACTAAGTATAATTTATTTGATTATTTGACTTCCACAGATTGGAAGAAAAATACTGTCATTCTGTCACTGACCCAAGAAATGTTTCACCAAAAAAAAAAAAAAAAAAATCCACATGCATTCCCAAATCTACTTGAATGTATCTCTTTCTGTCTAAAACTCAGACATTTAGGCAAAATAGTTAACTGATTTCTTTGAAGACGATTTACAAGTTCCTTCCCCCCGACCCTGACTTGTGGTGACAGCTTGCCAATTTTTATGCCAATATATTACCATTTCTATATTTATCCCTTTTTTTAAATTATAAGATGATTTCTCTCCTTTTCTTTATCAAATTCTACCTATACTCTGGACTATATCCTTTCCCATTCTCTAGCTCTTACTTCCTTAATTTCTTCCTTTCTCTGAAAATTCAAAACACTCAGGTTAATTACATTAAAAATGTACACATTTAAAAATTATGGATGCAACCAATTCCCTTTTGAGTACTACCACAAATCATACCATTGGACATATGGTTTTGTAAATTTTACTAAAAATAATACCACTGTGAATATTTTCACACACATCTTCTTGTGTGCAAGTATGAATGCTACTCTAGAGGAGAAATCAGAATATGATCTGCTAGATCAAAGGAGAGCCCATTTCTAATTCTAGTAACTACTGCCAGGGTGCCCTCAAGAATGGCCATATTAACATACTCCTATCAATGGTGTCAAAGTACCAATATTTACTCATGTCCCCATCTGATTTGATATTATCAAATATTTAAAATTTTTGAATTCTGATAAAAAAGCATTTTTTTGTTCTTTTAATTTGTATGTCCCTTACACATATTACTAGTAAGATAAACATCTTTATTTACGTTTATTGCCTATTTGTTTCCTCCTCTGTGAACTGCCTATTCATATACTTGCCCATTTTTCTATTAGATTTTCATTTTCTTATTGAATTATGAGTTTCTTCTATGTAATGGTATACTGTTGTTAGTAAACATCGCTTCTCAATTCCACATTTAATGATATGATGTTGATAGTTTGAAATTGGCCATGATGGAAATATTATACTATGGAAATCTGCAAAAGCTAAACAGCCCATCCCTAGACAGTTGTTAAAACATTTATCAGCACAGCACTTTTTTTCTTTTGTGAGACGGAGTCTCACTCTGTTGCCAGGCTGGAGCGCAGTGGCGCGGTCTCGGCTCACTGCAATCTCTGCCTCCTGGGTTCAAGTGATTCTCCTGCCGCAGTCTCCCAAGTAGCTGGGATTACAGGCACGCACCACCACGCCCAGATAACTTTTGTGTTTTTAATACAGATGGGGTTTCACCATGTTGGCCAGGCTGGACTTGACCTCCTGACCTCGTGATCCACCCGCCTCGGCCTCCAAAAGTGCTGGGATTACAGGCGTGAGTCACTGCGCCCGACCAGCACAGCACTTACTATGTATTTTGAATCCTAATCCTTTGGCTGCTACTTTTTCAACAACTTAGCCGATCATTTTCAAGTGTTCTGCAATATTTGATACCCTTGGCTATTCACACTTAAGCTTAGCTTTCCTGGCTT